GGTGGTACAAGGAGGGGAGGGGGAGACCTACTCTTAAAAAAGGGACCTAACCTAACAACTAACTTGGCTACAAGAGCAGGTGGCAGTGACCATTTACATAATGTGATAATGTTCACCAAAACATGTTACAGTAAACCGGAAAAAGAGTACAAACCCACCGGTCCAAGAAGCGGTGGGTGGAAGCTTCTATAACAAGGGCTATATGTTGAGGAGGTGTATTGACGGGTTCAATCCAATCGTCCAAAACTATAAGGAAGTTATTGAACTTAAACATTTTTATTGAAGGGTTCAATTCAACCGTCTAATACTATAAAGAAATGACTGAACATAAAAATTTTCATTGACCGTCTAATATCATAAAGAAATTACTGAACTTAAACATTTTTATTGACGGGATGACAATTAAGTACCCCGTCATTATGGTCTCGCCTAGAAAGGGGTAGGTTCATAGGGGTATTGGGCCTCAAAGGCTTTTAAGACATGCCCTCAGGATCAAATCTATGAATCCCGCCAGAGCCCAAGCCCATGCTCAAAACTATCTTCTGACTCTTCTCCACTACGCCGCACGAAATCGAACTTCTGAGCCCGCCAAAAACGAAGGAAAAATGGAAATGCGAGAGAGAAATATCTAATATGAATAAAAAGGAAACTTTTTATTTTGGAATCCCTCCAATTTTTCCAAATTCAAATATGACCCTATAAAAGCCACTCTCTCTCCCCCCCATTTTCCCTCTCCCTCCAATTTCAAGACCCAAAACTAGTTGCTCTGTTTCTCTCCATGGCCGACTACGAGCCTCCCTCGTTCTCTCTTGGGTTCGATCTGGGTTTCGATTCGGAGCTCCAAACAGCTGACACGGATCACTCCACTCCCGCACCAGCTCCAGACCCTTCGCGCGGTTCGGATGCCCTTAAACCCTTTGACGTAGATGAAGAGATCGGGCCTCAAATCACTGGTCCGGATCCAGAAATCGGGCCCCAACCAGTGCGGCCTCTCAAGCGGCTCAAGCGAGGACTGGCTCTGAAGCGGGAGCCCGCGACGCCGATTCGTAATATTGACGATGATATCGAAGAGTTCTCTTCTCCGGAAGATATTATTCGAGGTATTGTACAGATTTTTCATTTTTTTTGTTTTAGTAATTTTGTTTATTTATGGTTTAGTGAAAATGGGAGTTGAAAAAGTTGATTTCTTTTATGTTGTCTTTGATGAAATTGGGAAATAAAATGGGGGGAATGTGGTGGAGTTGATTATCTCCATTTAAAAAAAGAAAAATATATAATAATACATTGTTTGCAGATGGTTTGGGGAAGGGAAGTAATTCCAAAGTATATTTCGATGTAAGTTGTTAAGTAGAAGAAAGTAGCATTTTTGTTAGATTTGCAGATGTCATGTAATGAATTTTTTAATTTATAAAACTAATGGTTTTTGTGATTTGGGGGATTAGGGTTATGCAAAAGGTGAAAATTTGAGATGGGAAAATGGGTAGGTATGGTTGAAAATTGAAATGCCTTTTAGGAGTAGCAGTACTAGTTGGGACTTTATTTGGTAAGTTAATTGGTTAGAGCAATGGGGTTGGTTCTTAAATCTGGGGGTTGATAAATAGTGGCAAAAATTGTAAGCTATATGCAAGAAGCATAAGCAAGCACATTGAATAACGAAGTTTTGTGTCCTTTGATTTGTAGTACTATTAGGAGAACTTTCTCAGTAAGTTAATATAATCATTTTTAGATTTTTTGCTAGGAAGGTCTGCTTTGCACATAATCTTTCATCTGACTCATTTTCAGATAGTGTGCTTTCTCTCTTCCTTGTGTGTGTGTGGGTCTACCCTATTGGTTATGCGTTCAGATTAATGGTTGCCAAAATTTGTAGCAGATGCATATCGGCCAACACAATACCAAACTGTTTCCAGTAGTTCAAAGATCCCATTACATGGAAGTGGGGTTTTAACCTCTCAATCATCCTGCCATAGCATGGGAAGGAAAAGGAAACCTGCTTCAGACGTCTCAGCTTCTGTGGGTATGGAGGTGAACCGCCAAGGATTGATGTTTCCAAAGTTGACTACCAGTCCTCTTCGAAGGTTCCAGTTAATTGATTCTGATTCTGATGATCCTTCAGTCAGTGGAAATGGGAGCAGGGTTACTTGCAACATTGATCCATCCTCAAAGAAGCAACACTTCAATTCCGGCCATTCTGCAAGTACTAGTGAAACAAAGAAGAAACTATCAGTGCCTCAAGATGCAGGTGATGTGGATCTGTGGAAAGATTTCAGTCCAATCAAGAAGTTTAGCATTCCAACACCTGCTTTGGATGAGGTATGTCAAGAATTTCTCCAATTCGCGAAGGATAAGACTACTCAGAAATTGGAGAGGGATTCGTGTCTACATACGAATGAAGTTTTTCAAGAAACGACATGTTGCGTCCAAGATGTTGAACAACTCTGGAATGTGGCTGATCCCCTTCCACCTGCTCATCATTACTTTTTCCATGACGATCCAAATATTCGGAAATTAGTCTGCAGTCGCTTACCCAATTTTTTTCCACTCGTCATTAACATCAGAGGAAATCAACAGAATGGTTCATCAGTTATTGACTACATGTAAACACTTTTTTTTCCCGGTTGTTTCTGGTTTTTATAAACTTTCATTTTGAGTGTTATGTCATGACATGTTTCACATTGTCACTTCAGGGGTCAATTTAGCAATGGAGAAGCTTCAAAGCAGAAAGTGAATCAAAAAATTCACCTTGACCAAAGCTCTAAGAGGAGAAATAAATCAAACATATCAAATGTTGAAGAAGGCTTACATGCTTCAGGAGGCTGGATGAATCCAAAAGGTAAAGCAGCACAGAAAGGTAGTGTCAATAAGAGCTCAAGAAAGGGAAGAAATAGGTCAGCCAAATCAAATTTTGGAAATGTCGAGCATACTTCTGGAAACTGGGTGGAACCCAGAAGCAATGCCAGTACAAAGCGGATTCAAGCAAATGCACAACCTTCTGGTCAATGGTCTACGCTCAGTGTAAGTGGGCAAGCTGCTGGTCATTGGTATACTGGCCCTGGTGGAAGGAAGGTATGTTAAGACACTTCATTTTGATGATTTTATTGTATAGATCTTATGTTAATGGCTATTAGCCGGTCCTTTTTGTACTTGATAGATAGCAAATGCGGACAGTATAAAAGGTTCTAAAAACTGACTGCATTGTTAATGAATTATGCTATTATGCTTACAATCTCTAAAGTAAAAGTGTACTAAATCCTGTATTATCTTATTGTTGCTTTACAAAAGAAGCGGAGTGATAGAGTTTCTGCAAAAATTGCTGGATCCTTGGTTATAATGTTTGTCCGGTTTGAATAACGTTATACATTGTCTAGTGTAAATTTTCCTTCTGTAGATAGCGATCAAGTGAGATAGTGTGATACTTTATTTTGGTTGCAAGCATCTGTTAATTTGTGATTCATCTTGAATCTTCCTTCTAGTAATAGGAAACTAGAATTTGATATTGCTGGTGAGATTTCATTTGACCCTATGCAGGCATTCTTATCCGCGGTCACATGGATATAAGTGACTTGGTTGGCGTTGTAGTTCTAAATTTTCTGTAATGTCTTTGACATTATTGCTGCATGCATATATCTCTCCTTGCCTTGATCATGTACAGGTTGTAATGCTTTTAGTTTTTATCATCAGGTTTATGTAAGTAAAACTGGGCAGGAAATGACAGGCTCAACAGCATACAGACTGTATCGGAAGGTACATGTAAATCCATACTTTTCAATGTTTCGTTCTCTTTGTGCAGCTTGCTCATTTTTTACCTTTGTCGTGGACAGGAAAGTGGAGCACGGTCTGTCAAAGCCAGAAAAACGAAAGGAAAAAAAGAAAAAGGTTCCAAGAAGAGGTGAGGCTGAGAGTTGATGCCATTGCCATGTACCAAAGTATTTCTGTAACATTTCTTGTCGATAATTTCACCGTTTTAGATTTTTTTTCCCCATGTAATATGGTCGTCATAATGTTGACCAACTTTTCGAGAGAATTTATTCCTTGAAATAATACAAAGATAGTTATTTCTTTTCCGTACTTGGGTGCTACGACCAAGACCATGATTCTGACTATAATTAACAATGAAGATAAGTTTGCGGTTGATTAGAGTAATTGGCCACCAACCATTTGCATTTAAGTTCGAATCACCCTCCTCAATCACCCTCCTCATAGATTAGGGTAGTTTAAATATCACATTGTTAAAAAAAAATTATATGCATATCTCAGTCTGTACTAGGCTGCACGTGCTGAAAAATCCAATCTTTTTATACAAATTTATAAATAAACTCAATTCTAAACATGTATTTATAAAAAAACCCAAACACTATTTAAACATAGAAACACATTTAAAATCAACCCCAAAGTCAACAATTGTATATTTTTTGGGTGTGTTTATAAAGTGTTTTGGGTGTTGGGTTTTTTTATAATTTCAGCTCTTATTTTGGGTGTTTTAGTGAAACTCCCATCTTTTTATTGTTCTCTCACTTGGTCAGAAGAAAACCTGTTGTAACCCTCAAATCAGTCCGATAAAAAAAAAAAAAAACTGGCATGCCGTGCTTATTTCTTTACACCTCAAAACTAGTTAACTTTCAAGATGTAGTGTCAAGGGCCCAAGTAGATGAATGCCCTTCAAGCTTTTGAAGCAATTCAAAGCGAATTATGTGAATGATCTGGTTACTAGACTACAACTAAATGTGAGAGGCTGTCAAATAAAGCAACAATCGTTCTATGTTCAAGCATCCTAATTTGCCAATCACGTAGGTACATTGTAGTTTATTTGCTGCATAACAAAAGCACATAAGAAAACAATTCATTGGATAAAAGGGATAGCAACTTTTGGTTTTTTCTTTGGGAATACTCTCCCCCTCAAAATTAAAACCCAACCAAAAAAAAAGTAGCCCTTGAAGTAAAACCTCTTATACAACATTTTATGCTCTTCTAAAACAAAAAGCATTCTCCAGCATGGCCAGGACTTGCAAAAACCATGGATTATGTTAGCAATAAAATGTTCAAATGACTCCTTCACACGCTTCATGAGATGTCGAACAGTTTGCTCAAAGACAATATCATGTCATAGGTCTTCGGTGGAAGAAGAAAAAAACGGGGCCAATTTTGAGTAATATGTGCTTGATACCTGCTACCCATCTATTCAACGAGAAAAAAAGGCGACCGCAAAAGATATACAGATGTCAGAACAAACAAGACACCTAAGCCTTAAAATCTTTTTTGTACGCACCCTGCATAATTCCACTCATTTGTGATCAGAAGTGTCCTGCTGGTTAGAACCCTTGGAGTCCTCTCGATTAGAAGTCCTGGATCTAAATATGTGTTTGCATCTCCTGCAATGATTAGTGTAGCATGATTAACTGTAGAGATTGAAAATCAAATATTACAGTAACTACAGAAGGAAGCAAGTGAATGGATAACCCTTCAGGAAACTAGGGAAACGAGTAAAAATTACTGTAGTGCATTTGCTAAGGAAAGAGTTACCCCACAATCATAAATTCTCCTAATATCATCTGTTTCTAATTTAACCCATCAATGTGATATATCAGATACCACTACAAGGTTAGATAAAAAAATATAGAAGGGCATTGATTTGGGCAAACGGTTATTAATCTTGCAGTCCTAAACTTTAAGAGGTCACATACAATGTTGACATCATTAAAAGCATATTAACAAAAATTGAGCATTACATTTCTAGGCAAGTAAGTTGCAAACTTTTTTTTTTAAAAGAAAAAAGTAAGTTGCAATCTAATAAGTGGAAGAGTATTACAAGTTCAATTCCTCAGCCCTGCTCTTAATATCACTTGACCATAAGACTGGGTCAACATTCTTTGGCAATGAGTCTTGTAGTTGGTTTTTCTCTCTAAGCCACTGCTCCACCTTATAGCACTCATTGACAATCTGAGACACCGAAAATCAATCATAGGAAAAATTATAGTCACATTTATATGCGGCATAAGTAACTAACTGTATTGTCATACCAATTCCCTATCCATGGGTGGAAGTGAATTCACAGCCATCCGGTAATCCCCAATGCACTTTAATAGATCTCTTGTAGCTTGCAATCTTGCTTCCTCGTCTTTATATCGGTTCTCAATTGGATCCACCATCTATAATTATCCAATAGACATCAAGGTAGGAGAAAGATAATAGGAACTTAAATTGTCAAATTTCAAAAAGTGGAGAGAACCTTCTTAAGATCTTCCAGCTTTGAAGTATATGCATTTTCAGTTTCATCTTCTCCATCATCATAAAGCCAATCCTCAGTCTGCTGTAGGCTCCTGGAGATTCCCTCCCTCTCTTCATCACTTGCAAAGCTTCGATATGTGTTGAAGAGCTATTCACATGCATGTCCTTATGTTAAAAGCCAGCCTATGGCAGCAAATGAGCATGAACTAAAAGATCTACAAGAGTATGACTAAGTTATAGTCAAGCAAGCTCAGGTATGGATAATGAGATGAACAGAGGGACCGCAATAAGGCACTGATCTTTTGCCAAATATATATAGAACTGGTGATCATCCCATACTATAAGACAATTAAAAGAATTGTTGGGTTAAAGCTAATACAGAGTAGTCATACATCTTAAATCCTGATATTACTAGACAGCAGTATTCCCCATTATACATTTCGACCGTTATCACAAACAGCATCAAATCTACATCAGTTGAGTTGATGATATTTTGCTCTCAGGCCATTTAGGGGGTAAAAAAAACTGGCCTCATAAACAAATACAAACTCCAATATTATAAGTGGAATGTTAGTCTTAAGTCCTTATACTGCTTGGAAATATGCGTATTTCAAATCAATGCTAAATCTAATTATTTGAGCTGCTTGAATCACAAAACCAAAGCAAACATGATGGAAAGATAATACAGGTTATACCTTATTACGCATATCATATACATAAGATTCCAAGGCATTCTTTTTGTCTTTCGTTTGTTCCATAATTCTGTCCTGCTGACCTAACTGGAGTTCTTTTTCTTGAGCTTCTGAAAGTTCAGCCTTGGTCATTCCACCATATATATTTTCAGTAACGGGTATCTCTAGCCTCCTGGTGGATTTATTGTCTCTTTTCCCATCACCCTGGAAAAGTGCATATCTTTAAATGATTCTCAATCTACTCCACAAACTAACTAAATTGACAGGAACAGAATTTAAATCTTTGCAAAACAAAATAAGTCTAACCATTATAAATTGCACATTAAATATAAACGACACAATTACTATAAATAAATTATAAGGGAATTATTGCATATATCCAAATTCCAGATTCATATCTAGTTCTTCTGACATGAAATATGAACAATACAAATAAATAAATAACTAAATTTACAAGTCTGCAACTAATGAAGTTGAAAGCAAACTTACACTAGCATGTGAAGACTTGGACTGCATACTACTACTTTCTTGAAATCCATCTGCAACTGCCTCAGAAGAACCAGAAGCAGTTACACAATCAATGTCCATTGGGTCCATTGAATCAGCAACACCCCTTGTAGAAGAGTCATCTCCATGTTCTTCAATCACCTAATGCCATTACAAGATTTATACCACAAAAACATGATCCTAGTCAATGAGTAAATGACAAAGTTATTATGGTGCCATAAAAGAAAGAAGATCAGACTTCTAACTTACCATAGCTGATTCAACAAAGACAACACCGTTGAGGTCTAATTGAATTTTAACTTTAACCCTTGCCTTTTCACTATGGGAGCATTGGAAAGGGCCAATCTACATAAACAGCAGCTCATTTTTAGAAAGTAAGCATAGAGAGGATCAAAATGACATTTGCATTGAGCAGATAGTAAACTGAAGCTGTCTCCCCCAAGTGTTCATAATCCGTCTAACCAAAAGCAATTTCCATGATCCTGGATTATTACCAACGCTGCAAAGATTAGACATTGAGCTTTGCAGTCTTCAGTGGCAACATGATTGCCTTTGATTTCAATTACTTCTCTCATGTAGGCATCCTTTATTGACTTTATTTTCTTGCATCCTCACTGACAAAATTGTGTGTGCCACATGTTCTCCTCCCTTTAGCCCACCAAAAAAAGAGAACAAAGAGCAAAATATATTACCTTAAAACAACTAATTTTAGAAGATACACCAGCAGGCACCTCACTGGGATTAGCATAGAATGCTTCCAGATGAAATGAACTGCTTCGTCGAAATGTCAATACTTTAACACTTGGAATGGGTTGGCCTTTTGGAAACAGGATGCCATTTGACCCTGTGCAAATTGGAGCTTCATCCAATAAGAATCCTATAGAGAAAGGAATTGAATCTTGAACCTGCATATAGATCCAGGAAAACCATTACTTTCATTGTGGCAACTATCCAGATAACAAAGACATGTCTCTACATTGTGAAAATTAAAGCTATAAAGTTAGTGCTTTGATTCTTCGAGTCTAGGAGGGATTTTTGAAATGTAGAGCATATCCAGAGCAAGTAAGAGGTTGTTACCTTTAAACAATAAAATCATATAATCAAGCAAGCATCCATCACAGATTTTGTGCTTTCTTGCCTGCTTAAGTGCTGCTACGTTTAGAACTGGAAATAAATGCTTCTTTAAGGTTGTTTATAGTCCCTAAGCTTATGCTTTGTGAGAGGCACCCATACTTCTCAAAATTTCAAAAAATAGAGCCAAAAAAGAGAGGATATGTAGCTAGCTATACAGGGTACATTGCATATAACAGCATTGTGTTGCCTTGCGAATGAACAAATAAATCATGGCATTCTCAAGTGACACGAAAGTAGTGAATTTTTTAAACCAAGAAATGAGAATTTGTTTCAGCATACAAACCTCATATTCTCTGACTCGAAAAACTGGACTTAGCATTGCACATTGAAGAGCGCATCCACGTGCTACACACTCACTCGCATTCAGTGTCCGGCGAGGTTCTTTCCTGAATACAGAAGTTAAAACTCTACCAACAGCTGGGATCCTAGACCCCGACCCAACAAGCTCCACAGAATGAATCTTCTCAGCAGTCAAACCTGCATCAGCTAAAGCTTTGCTACAAGGAACACCAATCCTCTCCAACAGACCTGAAGACAACGTCTCAAAGTCTTCCCTTTTAATAAAACCCTTAACATCTTTCTCATCCATTAAACACTCAATATTAAGTGGTGCCTCCGCATTCGCACTCAAAACTTTCTTGAGCTTCTCACAAGCTGCCCGTAGCCTGATACTTGCCTTGACATTAGAGTACACATCAATTCTGTATTGCTCCTTGAACTCTGCAGCAAAATGACCAAACAAGACCTCATCAAAGTCTCTACCTCCCAAGCTTCTTTCAAAAGTATGAGACAGTATTTTCATTTGCCCAGCCTCAAATGATGCAATAGTGACCTGTGTATCACAATGACCAATGTCAACAAATGCCACATAAGTTGGACCGGAACTGGGGAAATCCGTTTTGTAAATCCCATAACTAAGAGCAGTTGCAGTACAGTCATGCATCAATCTCAAAGGCTTCAACCCAGCAACTGTTGCAGCATCCAAGTATGCACGTCTCTGTAAGTCTGTAAAGTATGATGGAATACCAATCACACAATCTGAAATGGGGATTTCCTGATTCTTCTCTATTAAATCTTTCAAATGTGCAAAAAGCATTGCTGTAACCTGAACCGGCGTAAATGTATGAGTCTCACCCAAGTATTTCAAATGAATCAAAATGCCACCATCTGGGGCTTCAGAAGTTTGAAAGGGTAACATTCGAAGGTCACGTTGAACATCAGGCTCTGAAAATTTTCTACCAATCAGTCTCTTCACCTGAGACACTGTTGATTTTGGGTTCATCATTGCAGAAGCAGCACCAGCGGACCCCAAAAACCGCTGCTTCTCACCAAAACAAACCACAGCTGGTGTTTCACGTTTTGATTCATCATTTAACAAAACATCAACACCCCGTTGCTTCACCACCGCAATTACACAATTCTCATTTCCAATATCAAACCCCACCACACTCATATTTAACAAAATTTCAGCACCAAACTGAGGACACCAATTAAATTTCCACCAAGTTCCTCAAGTTGTTGCACAAAACCTATAATTCAACCCCAAAATTGAACAGAATTAAATTTATTTAAAAAAAAAGAAAGAAGGTGAATTGTATGTAGTTTAAACAAGCTTTATCTGATTGTTTTCTCCACTAACACTAACAAAGTTAATTGCTAAAAACATAAGACAAAAAACAAACTTTCAAATAATTGTTGTTATACGTTAATCGAATTCATAACCCAGCTAAGCTTAAATTTAGCCATCAGTACATTTCAATCTGACATTTTCAGCGCTTAGGAACCAAAACAAGAAGACCCAGAAACTCAAACTCAACCTTCAAACAGAAATTTACTTGTCTTGAATTTTCTCAGAAACCAAACAAATCGCAAATGTTCAACATTTCAAAATCAAATCCGCACATTCCTTTAACAAAATCTCAACAAAAATGATGAATTCAGCAGGCTGGGGAAAGTGATCGAATTACCTGTTTGAGAAACGACGCTCCGAAAAGAAGTTGAAAAAGAAAACCATGAAAATTAAAAATTACAAAGGGAGGAAGAGACTGGTCAAGAGAAAAACTCTGCCCTTTGCTCGCAATGCAGAATATACAACGTCATATTCTCCTTGATAAATTTCTTCAATTTATTCAATTTACGAGGGTCTGATTGCAAATATTATTTGCACCAACGCCTTTCTATTTCTCCTTTTTCTTTTTCTTTTTTCTTAAAAAAAAAAGCACCCATTTTGGGATTTGCCGTGGCCTGAATGGCTCTTTAACATTTTGGCTTTTGATGTAAACATTGATTTACGTCCTCAATAAAATCTTCCATCTATTGGCCCAAAAAAAAAAAAAGGGCACCATAAATGTGTCGCTTCGTTGTTTTCCTTCTTCTCTTTTTTCAATTTGTTTTTCTTTAAACAATTACAAGGGAGCCTCTTTGTTAATAGTACAAGATCCAATTCAATCCGTCCAAATTGACTGATTTAATTCAATTTCAATCAATTTTGATGATTTGGCGGATTAAATTGGATCCGTAAAATTTCAAAGCCGACATGATTAGATCGGATGATGGATTTGCTTATGACTAGAGGTGTCAAACGGGCCGTGCCGTGCCGGCCCATCCCATTTAAACTCGTGCTTTTAACGTTTTCGTGTCGGGCCGGGCCGGCCCATTTAATTTATCGGGCCGTGCCGTGCCGGCCCATTTAGTAAAATTATTGATCCCGGCCCGGCCCAAAGCCCATGTCCATATTGAAACGGGCCGGGCCGGGCTCGTGCCGTGCCCGTGCTCGTGCTCGTGCCACACTCGGGCCCAAGAACCAATCCATTTAATTTGAATTTTTTTCACTTCATTTTTTTTTTCACTTAGATAATTCAAATTATAAACATTAAAAATATAATTAGAGGCAAGAAATGATGAACTATTTGAAAACATTAATCAATCAAACATCCAAACAATATGAAAATGGCAGAGGGCAAAAAGTGTTAAACTCTACAAAGTCCACTTCAACTTTTCATCTTTAAACAACTTATTATTTTATATGTGAAATAATGTCTTGCTTTGATTATAAGATAAGCATATATGTCATATGTACTGATTAGATATCAAGTCCAATATTGTTTAATTAATTTGTAGTTGATATGTTTAATTAATTAAGGACCCAAGTAATTTCCCTAAAATGAAATACATCAAATATATATTTATGATTAAAAAAACATATAAATAATGACATTAGATGTCAAATTATTGCATTTTGACTTTTGAGAAAGAAAAAAATGTTAAGTGGGCCGTGCCCATTAATATTCGTGCTCGTGCCGTGCCGTGCCTCATTTAAATGGGCTGGGCTCGTGCCGTGCTGGGCCGGCCCGTCCCGTTTGACACCTCTACTTATGACAATCCCATCAAATCAAATGAAATTATTTTTATGCTTATTTTGCTCTTGTAGGTATTTGTAGTTGAAAAGATTGTCAATATTTTAAATCATTTAATGAAATTATGTTTAATATATTATATAATCAAAACAATTTTATCTTATATTTCATTTATATTTTACATTTATGTCTATTAATATGTTTGATTAGATTAAACATAAGGATAAATGTTTAATATTTCATTATTGTATTTTTCCATTATCAAATGGATCATACAATCCAATCCAATATCAATTGGATTGAATCTGATAGGATTTAAATATCTAATATGATTGGATCAAATTGAAAAAATCGCAATCCAATCTATATTGAATCGGATGTGAATTGACTAAATTGTATTAGTTTCAAATCGACATACACCGCTTAATGTAATAATAACTTCGGATGAACATGTTTGTCTTGATTGGGGTTTTAAAGTTTTGGGACATAAAGATGTGGTTGGTCTAATCTTAGCCCTTCCTATCTCATTGATACATACTTTAGATGTGTCCCAATTTGGAGACTGTCTTCAGATGATACCTTTACCATTAGATCATCTACACGTTTTTAATTAGTGAATAACACTACTCTAGTCTGCATCTTATTTCAAAAATTTAAACGTTCTTGATTATGCCTAAAAGTAAGATCTTTGGTTAGCCTTTGCTTAGTGATAAGAAACTAACGCGGTAGTTTGTGAGTTCATAATCATATCAATCTTGTTTCTGTTTTTTGTAATCAACAAGTGGAGAAGAGTTTGTCAATTCTTTAATCATGTCAATCTTGTTTGTGTTGGTAGTTTCTCTTATAAATTTATTCATTTACATAAGAAAATAATCTATTCATCTTCTGCTATAGCTGCATGGCTATGCTTGAACAAAAATATTGTTTTAATATGATTATTGTGTACTTTGAAATTGACTAGTTAAATTACTTTTTTTTTAATTTTTATATAAAAATGCATTGTTATAATTCTTAACAATGCATTCACTTTCCTTACTTGAACTAGGCCCAAATCTTATTGGACCTGTTAACTTGAAGAAAAGATTTGATTAGAAAAGTAACCTTGAGAAGGATTTCGACAGTAAAAAGACGTCCCGCATGTGTGCATGTGACGAGAGAGATAGAGAAAGGTGTATGGATTGGAACTCAGAAGCAGTGAAAACCACACGGTGCTATACGAAGTCATAGGAACATTTTGAGAAGGTACTGCCACTTTCTTCCCCAATCAATCCCTATCTCATCTTTGTTCTTTGTTCAGTATGTACTCTCGTCTTCGGTTACTTAACTTTCATCAGAGTTCAAAAAACTTTCCTTGGGTTTAACTCATAGTAAATATCTACTTTTTTGTTGTTGTTGTTGGGTACAAGTAAAAATTTGAACTTTTCACTTTTGGCTGTCCATCTTCTCAGTTGCTGCTGTTATGTTGTCTTTTCTTTTTGTTCCGCAGTTTAACTTTATGTCATGTTTGAAATAAAAAAGATAAAATGTAGGTGAAGTGGAATTAATATTTGCACATGAGGAACACAGTGGAAAAGTGAGCGAAACTTTTCCTTTCCCCAAGTGTATCCGGGTTCGATTCACATTGGAGACTCTTGAGGCAACCCAATATAATACTTACCATTCTCCCTCCCCCCCTAACGAATGAACAAAAGAAGAAGTGGAATTAATATTTATTGGTCCTGTACTAGTGCTAGGACTTTGATTTTAGATAGTTGTCTCCTGATGGAGCAGATGCCTGCAAAACTACAAGCATTTAGTTGGGGCGAAATTATGTTTGAAGAACATTGCAATATGCAAGCCTCTATTTGAAAAATCAGTCAGTTTTTATTTTACTGCCTTGTTTAATTTCGTAATTTTATTTATTGTTTAATTTAATTATTAAATTAAATTATTAGTGTAATACTGATTGTTGTTCATCCAACTTGTGTTTGCGTTTGTGTTTGTGCTATGTGGTTTAACTCAACTCTGTCTTCTACTTGTGGATGAAAATGTTCTTTCTTGTTCATCTATTTATTTCCACTATGAATTGAGTGGGTGTTCAAGTTTTTTATTTTTATTTGTGTCATGTGATTTTAACTCAACTATGTCTCATACAAGTTACACAGTTACACTTAGAGAAGAATAAATTTCTCTGGTGGTGGTCGTGGACAAGAATTTTACATGTCGCATAGATACTGTTGTGCACTTGTAAGTCTTCACAAGTGGTCTCAAGAGTGTGTTCCCTTGAGGTTCAGATTACTTGTTATTCACTATTTGGGTAGACAAGTGTAAAGACAGACAACACCAAAGGCACCCTGAGAAAATAAATGGATCGTGACTGCTGCCCATCTAAGAGAGAACATAAAAGACCTTCGGAAGCATCTCATGCAGCAAATGTAAGCTAACATTGTTACTAGAGAGAGAAGCAGAAGATCAAGAGAACCTGCAATGGTGACAATAACTCAGTTGTGTTGTGTAACAGTTTGATTTGATCCTCTTGATATGAGCACTGAAAGGCAAAGAGACCAACAGATACATGCAAATTGGCACATTGAAATTGAACACCACCAATTTGGGTAAATTGGTGGCTGACCCCAAACAAAACTAAATTCTTACAATTCACTTTCATGGACATGACCTTTGGCCTTGTTTATATTAAAAGAAAAGACTTATGTTAAAAGTGTAACTTTGCACTTTAATGGACATGACCACCTAAAATTAGAGTTATTTTATTTAGGTCAAATCACTTCGTTGGTTCTTGTGGTTCAGCTAATTTTCACTTTGGTCCTTGTTATTTTAATGTTTGCAATTGTGGTCTCATCATTTTCTTTAGTTAACAATCAAGTCCTACACGTCTAAAATTGTTAAGAAAAATTGACGAGATTGCACTTGTTTTGGAGAGACAAAAGTAACCTCATATGTCGTTGTTGCATATTGCCACATCGAATGTCACTTATTAATTTGACAAAGTTGATGGTTTGGACTTGATTGCAAACTAAATCAATATAAATGACTAAAATGTGAAAATCAAAATGGCATGAACCAAATTTAAAACAAGTCAACTTTTCAAAGAAGAAAAATATAATTTGGCCTTTTATTTAATAGAAAATTTAGCGATACTTCACATCTTTGAGGTCTCCTAAATAATAATGGTAAAACTCACAAACATTTATTTGCATGATATTATTTATGGGTTTTTTTTTGTTTTTGTTTTGGGGAAAACATTTATGGGTTGATTTTTGTTAGAGGTGAAAAGTATGAAAGGTAGTAGACCTTTTTTTTTTGCCTTTTTTTTTTTTTGGTGTGTGTGTGGAATGCAGGCATGTGGGTTGGGGGCACTTTTCCTGAGATTTAAAGTGGTGAGGGAGGGAAAGGGACTGAGGTAAACCCCTCGATCGAAAGGTAGTAGACATTAGTTAGGTTATTTGGTCAGAATAGTAAGCTCGTTCCTTGCATACAAGTTCTAATCTCCATTTTAATAAATTAGAGTAATTTCAACTATCACTTTTATTAACAAAAGATAAGAACAAGTAACAACCCATGACCTTATCGAAAAAAAATAATCATGATGACTATGTGTCACCAAACTGTTGCATGCCTTTAAAGCAAGTAAACATGTCAAGTGTCTCTACACAGTAGTTTATAACTCAGCAGTGAAAAGCACGCTCCATTTTCTGATTCTCTACTTCCGAACTCCTTCCTTCCCACCTCGTC